ATTGGAAAATGTGTAGCCATTGAATTTGTTACTCATCACACCCCTCCTAGTGAAGCCTCAAAGAAGTGAAAATTGATCAGAACTTGTGGAAGGGAACTCGAGTGAGGGGCTTTGTAAGAACATCGACTAATTGATGATCCGAGGCAGGAAGATAATGGACTCAATCACGAACGAAATGAAATTCGATTTCCATGTGCTTCGACGTACAGTGATTGAAAAATCGGATTATGGGTGAGATATACTGCCCTCAGATTGTCGCACCATAGAACTGGAGAGTTGAGAAGTGGATGCACCAGTTCAGTGAGTAATGATTGCAGCCATATCACTTCGGATGCGAGAGTGGCGAGTGCTCGATATTCCGATTGAGTTGATGAAGAGCTACCGATTTATGTTTGCATGAGACTAGGTTTGTCCCAACAAAAAAAAATGCAAAGCCAGTGATAAACTTGTGGTCCGAGGGATAGGAGGCCCAAGAATCATCCGATTAACTATATATGTGGAAAGAAGGTAACCGAGACAACTATAGACCATAATCTAGAGAGCCTTGTAGATAGCGGAGAATCCGCATGAAAGCCGACCAATGAACATCAGTGGGAGCATGTTAATATTGAGAGACATGGTTCGCGGCAAGCGAGAGATTAGGCTTGGTGAAGCTAAGGTATTGGAGACCTCATTCAAAGGTGCGATAGAGTTATGGATGAGCAAATAATGGAAAGGAATTAAAGGTGCTTTGTTGAATGGATCCCGAGTGCAGTGAGTTGAAATGGGCTTCATTTCAGCCATTTTGGGACGGTGTAAGAGGTCGAGAATGATCTTGCACTGATGCAGGAGTATGCATGTGGTTGTACGCACTTGACCTCAATTCCAAGGAAATAGGATAGTGGACTAAGATCATGGAGAGCAAAGTTGTCCCAAAGAAAGACCATGAGTCGATGAAACAGACCAGAGATGGAGCCAGTGATGACTATGTCATCGACATACACAAGCACAAACAATCTAGCAGTGTCAGACTCTAAAATGAAGAGAGAAGCATATGTCTCCGAGATAGAGAAGTCACCGAACAAGAGCTACAAAGAGGCATTAAAACTATGTTCTTTAAGCTTTTTGGAGTCCATAGATGGACTTGAGAAAGCGGCATAAATGATTGGGTCAATCCATATCGATAAAGCCTTCGGTTTGCTACATACAAATAGTGTTGTGCAGCTGCCTGCGGAGAAAAGCATTTGAAATATCAAGGAGGTGCAAGGCCATCCCCATGAAATAGCAAGACCCAGAACAAGGCGTAAAGTTGCAGGTTTGAGTACCAAGTTGTAAGTCTGATGGAAATTGAAGCCTGAAACTTTTTTGAAGATTGCAGTTGGGCGGCGGAGTAACTATGTCCCAAGTGCGATTGTGCAGTTGAGCTGGGATTTCTTTGGCCATGACAACCTTCCAATGTAGAAGCCTCATTGCTTGCAAAATATTAGTAGGTGTGTCATTCGAAAGCCGATGCATGTGCAATGTTTTGGGCTTCAACGAACCCATTTTGATACAGGCGACCGTAGGTTGAGTAGAGCTAGTGGGATTAATGACGAGCAGTGGCCGGAGATACGTGGTGAAACGCGTTTAGGGAGGAAGAGGTTTGGGTGGTGGTGGTGTGGGAGAAGGGAAGAAAAATTGATAACGCTCAAATTACACATATCCCCCCCCCCCCTCATTTCTTGAGTGTTTATGATCACTTTCTTGCATATTAAGAAAATTTTACACTAGGTTGTGCATTTTTTTTTATATTTCAGGTCCCAGTACATAAATGAGACCTTTGGAGCAAGTTTTACGAAGATTGGAGCAAGTCTAGATCATAGTATAGAGGAGTTACGACCAGAGTCTCTAAGTTACGACCTGGCCTGTAACAACCCCAAGAAGCCTGTAGGTTTCGCTAAAGATCCAGACGGGTGCCTAAAGGTTACATTCAGGACCTCAAACTTACAGCCTGGTCGGTAACCTCCATAACCATCAGGTAAGTCAAACCTGGAGGAACATAAGCCATCTTGGATGTTATAGCCTGTCTTCTCAAGTAACATCCAAGCTCGTAACTCATCAGTGCAAACCATAACTCTTGGTTTAGGGATCGCATCCACAATGATGTTTCAGCACAAGTTACGGGCAGAGGAAGAGAGTTGGGCCATAACTCAGACCGTAACTCGAAAATTTTTAGGGTACAAAAGGCAGGATTGGGGCAAAATTGTAGGTATGCGATTCTTTTGACCTAGAACCGAGCTGGAAGCTTTGTGGAGAGAAAAAGTGACGAAAGACCACCCAATGAGAGATTTTGAGCACCTCCAATGACCATGGGAGCTCGATTTCCTTCTATTGGAGTGGTGGACGACTATCCGGAGTAGATTATCATTGTAATCCGATAATTTCTACTTTAGCCATCATGTTTCTCTCTTCCTCCATGGAGTAAACCTCCTCTACACTTAGTATGAAGAACCCTAATTTTGAATGTTTGGAAATCATTGTATGAACCCTTGATTCCTGAATATTGGCATTATTTATGCAATTGAGACATATTCCAGAATTGATTGAGTCATGATCACATTCATTCCATTCTGCTTTAACCTAAGAAAGATAAAATCTGATTAGGTTGATAGAGCTCCCAAAATCATAAGTAGTGAATCGATTCATTGCTCTATACAGGTATCAAAACACAGTAGTGGAAGTTTAATTGAATCGCCTTGGTAGTTTATTCTGGTTGAGGATAATGTCCCTCTAGGTACTCTATTCAAGAAGGTATGAATTTCTTTAGTAGAGATTCCAGAACTTTCCACAGTCTAAATGTCAATTAAAATGAATTAAGGAGAATTACCACTCGAACTAATTACTGGCTAAGGGGACACCTACATGAGTGAATTTTATAATTGAATTGAATCAACATTTATTAGTTTTATTCTCCTTAGCTTTTAGTAATCTTCACTACAAGTTGAACGCTAGATAACATCACAATCACCGAGTAATATTAAATATAGGGCCCTGGCTGACAAATAAAGATGATATCTACTATGTTGAGTCCTAAGTCGTGGTTGCACTTGGCCACTTCTTAGTGTGATAGTTTTAGCAAGTCAATTTTTTGGCAACGTTGTCAGGGACTTTCTAGATTATTAGGAAAGATAGAAATTTGTTAATTTCGCTTTTCTTGTTTTTCTTTTCCACCCTTGCTTTTTGCTTGGGTGTTTTTTCCCCTTTGTGCAGATGTGAATCATAAATCCCTATGGTTTTTCTAACCAGTGAGGGTATCCACCAACACCTGGTTGGTATTACCATGAGACTTCATGGGATAACCAATATAGAGAATGCTATGGATTCGGGTTCCAGGAAAAACAACCACCCTTCTATAATTCACAACCAGAGCCTTGGATATTTCTCCTTATCAAGAAGATTTCCTAACACACCCAGAGGGGTCATATGAGCTAAAGTTAGCCGTGACAGCCTTCACTGGCCATTATGCAGAGCTATGCTACATGCCACTGGCAATTGAAAATATTTTCCCAGAAGAAACGAGTGCATCATGATCTATTGGATCTACAAATTTATGAGGAAAAAAATACAGGACCAAAAAATAACACACCATACCACTTTGGTATATATGGGGATGATATCTTGTGGTACACAATGTTGAAAGTCGTAAATGACAGTTAGTATACTCCTACAATCATGTATTAAACCATCCTACAGTCTGGTATGATCATACCACCATGGTTAGGGGTGTACATGGGTCGGGTGGTTGGGGTTTAGTCATTTTAATCACCCAACCCATGCACTACGGTTTAGGAAATATCAAACCCAAACCCACCCAAAAAAATTTAAACCCTACGGTTTGTTTCTAATTGGGTTGGGTCGGGTTGGCGATATGTTTAAGTAAAAACCCAACTCAACATAAACTATATAATTATTCTACATCATAATAATATTTTATAACTAATTAAAATTTCAAACAAATAAACCGAGGTGAAGGTATCAAATTTCACAAATGTTGTTTGAATTTTAATAAAATGTGATTTACTTGACATATGTCTAGTTTTTTCACGATATTTGTTGAAATAGGCTAAAAATGTTATAAACAAACGCATCCATAATATGTTATTATATTAAAATTGTACACAAGAAAAAAGATTACGTGAATCATAACTATATTCAATTTATATCTAAACTTTTAAGTCAAATAATGCATTAGATTAGTGAGACTGTGAGAGAAAAACATGGCCAAATATCTTAATTTTCTCATACGTATGGCTATTTACGACATAAATATTTTTTAGATACGAACTCACTCATACTAGTAGTTGGAACACGGGTTGGATCGGGCTCTATGGGTTGTGTAATCCAAAATTCACACCCAACCCGAAAGAGGCGGGTTGTACAAAAGAAAACTCTCACCCAACCCAAAACCTTCGTTTTAGCGATAAATACGGGTGGATTGGGTCGGGTGGGTCGGTTTGCGGGTGTGTTTGTTCACCCCTAACCATGGTATGCTTTCATACCATATGGTATGTTCTTATTTAATACCAATCATTACCACTATAGTATAGACTGGTAAAAAATGCTTTGATTTTTTTTTTCCAAAAATATATCAAAGTGAATATCATTTTGAAGAGCACAATTAATCTTATTTATCTGTACAAAAAATGTAAATTCCAACTTCAAATAAGAGAAAAATCATTCATTAAAAATTAAAGACAAAAAGATTAAATACCTTGTATAAGTGATAGAAGAGTACTGATGTGACGACTGATGGTTGAATTATGTATGATTATTGACCAGTAGGCTAATATTTTTCTATTAACGTTATAGGGTTGGATTATCCCCACGCTTACTAACAAACCTAGTCGAGCAACAACAATATAACCTAACAGCTTTCCAATCTTCCCAAACAACTTAACAAGATTCCATCCACGTCTGTAGGACTCTATTAGTTAATTAATGAAACTATAAAAGGACAACGCAAACCTAGCAACGTAACGTTACCACAGCCGCCACCCAAGTGAAAGGAAATCGTTAGCTTCCAGCCTGATTGCTAAAATGAGCATACCAAAATCGCCACTGGCGCCGGAGGGATCGGCAGCACCCAAAGGAGCGACGACCGATGCTAGCGCCGCCGGCGAGCGGAAGGAAGAACTGGACGGTGTGGCATCGGAGGCAGCGTTATTGTGCGAAAGAGTGGTGTGGATGGTCGAAAGGACTGCGGCGGTTTCCCTTGTCTTGTTCCTGCTCATCTTCATCGTATGGGGATGGAGATCAGTTAGCTTCTTGTTGCTCTCCATGACCAGCTTGGCGCTCTTGCTGGGCTGTATCGGGGGCCGGTTCCTCGTCAAGTACTTGGGCCAGCAGACCCAGGGAGAGGATGAGTTGCGGCCCAAGCCCGTCGGTGTCGACGATAAGAAGGCCCACGCAGCTAGCGATATTCGTCGGGCCCACGTCCGCCCCGCCTGGCAGCCGCCGCCACGTCGCGCTTCCGAGGATGGGAATGAAGGTCCCTTAGGGTTAGGGATCATGAGCGAACGTCTTGGTGACGATGAGGTAGTGAGGAGCGCGCAAGAAGAAGAGGAAGCGCTGGAGAACTGGGAAGAGGAAGTGATGGTCATTGAAGCCCAGCTCTTGGAGGCTAAGGCGGCGGTCAACCATTTCCGCCGGCGAATCCATCGGAGAAGCAAAACCTTCCCTTCGACGTCGGCCGCGACTTCTGCTGCTGAAGAGAATAAATAATTGAACTGTGGTAGCTAGGGAGTTTTTTTTTATTTGGCCTTTGACGGATGATGTTTTCTATTTGCAGGAGGATTTTAGTTTGAATTCTTAACTTAACGTGTTTACAAATAAAACTGGTGCATGTGTATTGACGTAATCGATATTGAAAGGGATTGCTCTAGTTCAGTTTATTGTATTATTAATACATCCAAATTTAAAGAATAATTAAGTGTAGAGTTTTAAAATCTTTTCATCATTCAAAAAATCCTGATCTCTAGAGACCCTGCCCGAACTCGTCGGCGGACGGGGACAGTCAGTAGCCAGCCTATGCCCGTTTAGTTGCCGGGGACGGGGATAAAAGAGTTTCAGCCCAATGATATCGGGCCCATCAACCTTTTATCACCTATCCACAAAACCCTATAATTACTAATTAGTAGAAGTTGGTTGGATATTAAAGACCATAACCAAGACCAAATGACACTGGAGTGGACGTTGCTCCCTTTTTAGGGAGATATTCACGAATCTTTGGTTATGTATAGTTAAATATCATCCAGATGGCACACTCGAGCGTTATAAGGCACGACTAGTTGCACTGGGTTTTCGTGAAGAGTTTTGCATTAATTATGAGGAAATTTTTTCGCTTGTTGTTAAAATGAAGATGATGCGTATTTTTTTTTTTTTTTTGCTATAGCTGCCATGCGAGGTTGGCCACTTATTCAGCTTGTTGTTAAAAATGCATTTCTGCATGGTACCTGAAGGAAGATGGTTACATGGAATGTCCGGCTGGTTATGCTAAAGGAGGACTTGGTTTGGTGTGTAAGCTTAAGTAGTCTTTGTATGAAATTAAACAAGCTCCCACATCTTGGTTTGATAAGTTTTATGAGACCATAATTCAAGCAGGTTTTTCTCAAAGCGATAATGGCCCTTCCCTGTTTATTTAGTAGAGAGTGTATGGAATTGTTGTATTGTTGTTGTACGTTTACGATACGGTGATTAGTGATAGTGATCTCGATGGGATACAAGATTTTAAAGAGTCATTACATAATGTCTTCAAGCTTAAGGAGTTAGGTGATGTTTCTTATTTTTTAGGGCTTGAAGGTCAACACTCTTCATCGGGTTTGTTTGTGTGTCAGACTAACTCCAACCCATGGAGCAAAAGAGCTAAAAAGCAAAATTTAGCTTTTTTTGGGGCTCCAACCCACAAAATTTTTTGCTGTCAAATATGGGTATGGTCATTTTAGGAGCCAAATATAGCTCCTCTTTTCGTTGGAAAGCCAAATATGGCTGGAGTATAAAGTGGCCCTACGCAGACCAATTTTTTTGTTTTTCTCGCTTTCCTTTGTGATTGGTTGTTGTTCTATTTGAATGTATTTTAAATTTAAATGAGAAATCATTCATGTAGTGACGAAACAACGGTTACATTGTAGCGCTTATATTTTAACGGCCTTAAAAAAAGTTATATTTAGAGTGTTCCCAAAGTTAACGATAACAAATGAATGACTAATGTTCAAAATATTTTTTTGTTTCGGAATTTTAAAAAATTTACATAAAATTTTTTGTTTTCAAAAGTAATAACGAACTATAAAAAAGTTAAAGTGAAATATAAAAATTAAGGACCAAATAAGTATGTTTTATTAAAAAAAAGGAGATGGGAAGCTAAATTTAGCTTTTTGTAGGGTTGGAGTAAAAATGAGATTTGGGAAGCTAAAAAGCCATATTTGACTATTTGGAAGCCAAATTTGACTTTATGGTTTGAAGTTAGTCTCAGAAGACATATATAGCGGATCTTCTGACATCGTCGTAATTCAATGAGTGCAAACATAGTGCAACACCCATGGAGCGAAATCTCAGACTAAGTTGAGAGGTTGGAGACTTACTTGAAGATCAAATGATGTACCGTAGTATTGTTGAAAGTTTGATATATCTTACACACACAAGCCATATATCTCTTATTCGGTTCAAGTCCTTAGTCAATTTCTTGGAATTGCAAGAGTAAGATCTTGATTTCGTGCATAGACTTTTTCAATACCTGAAGAATACAGAAGAAGATGCAAGCATGTTTTTCCTGCCTCTTTATATCTACCAATCACTTTTCCCCACGCATCCCACTAATCCAAAACAAAGAATGGAAGACTTGCCTTGTCCTCTCTTCCATTATTTCACCCTTTATCAGATGATTGGAACCATTTTCGAATCTGGAACAAGTGGTCATTGCAAGCCTTCGTTATAAAATCATCAAGGCTCAGCTCATCTTGAGGTTCCCACTCCAATCTCATTTTCAAAGTTACTACACGTGGCCTACCTTACTCTTAGACTTCGGTGGCCAAAATTTTGAGAGAGATTGATAAATGGGATGGGTAGGAAAACGCACAGATCACCACCACTTCTTCTCATAGCCTTGAGAGTGAAGCTTCTCGTTACTATCCATCCCACCATCACCATTAAATTTTCCTTTACCCTTGAGAGCGCCGGCCGGTGGCGGAGAAGAGGTGCAGAGCCGATCGAGGTGAGATCTTCTTTTGCTTTCGTGATCATGGGTCTAATAAAGTAAGGGGGAGGGTCCTGTCTCAGGTTTGGAATGCATAAATGTGAGTATGATCACTAAAAAACGTGCATCAGCATATATATATACTTATATAGGTGAATCCGTTTGTGGAGATGGAAGAATGAATGTGGCCATTTGATGATCTTTAAAAAAAATCCAAGTGGGTGGGGTGCTTGATGAAAAAGAGAGCTTTAGCCTTTAATTATGTTTGCCATGTGTTGGTTGAACTTAATTATAATGATAATACGATATGCATATATGTAAGAAATAAGGATATATGATGGGTTAACAATAACATGCATGAAGAGAAACAAAAGGGAAGTATAGAGATGGGGATGGTAGTATTGGTTATGAGTCCTTTTCATGTGGGGTTGAAGTGACTACAAAGATTTTCATTTGAGCATAAACGAGCGAAATGAGATATTATATAGCCTTTTGAATCCATGATTGGTACGGTCATGTATCGCGGGTAGACCTACTTATAAATACTCGGTTTAATATATATATATATATATATATATATATATCAAGTTGAGTTATTGTTGCCTAATCTCGCAAGCTGATTGGGCAACTATCATTTTTACATTTTCATACCCAAATTTAATCAATTACAACTTAGTTACCATTACATTTTGATACCCCAAATTTAATTTTAATGTAAAAGTATTGAATGTTATATAAATTTTATGAGATTTTCGTAACTACAATTTTTTTAAATTTACATATTGGTTTAATTTTTAGATTTCACTTGAATCCATGAATTCAATCCTCCAATCTTTTTGAATCAATCCATGAATCCAATCTACCATAACAAAGAATATCAATTTAGTTTGAACCATACAAGATGTTGTATCACTCAACTGTATTCATTTTGATTCTCCCTAAAAAATTTCTTTTTCACCCGAGCTGGAATTTTCGACAATTATATATGGAATGTTTGGCTAGGTATCTACATGTATCAAATAATAGTTTCTATTGTTCTATAAAAAAATTAAATAATTATCATCTTAAATACATCACCATAAAGGAATTAAGCCTCAAATATACAAATTACAGTTCGGTACCTAAACTTAATAGATCTTTAGATTTATAACCTAAATTTATTCTTTGGCACATAAGTCCCCAAATATTGATTGAACATTACATTTTAGTATCTACAATTTTTGTGTATGACATTTTGGTGCCTAAACTTTTGAAGTTCTACAAATATGTCTAATTTTTGTATGTGTAATTAAAACACCCTCGAATAAATGGGTATCCATACCCAACTCATAAACATTTAGGTTATGTTTACGTAAGTACATAATCATATCCTACCCAAACTCATCTACAAACTTTCAAACTCATATATACGTCACCCATACCCTACACATAATCAATGGGTCTACTTGGGTTTAGGTAAATATCATTTATTAGCCAAAAATTAAAAAAAAAATTAATGTTGACCGCCATATATCTCTTCTCAGTTAATATCATATTGTGAAGCCAATATTACTAACAAAACTGCTAACAAAAAATTAATTTTAGACTAATAATACAAACAAACACCATAACGGATCACATAATACATGCATGTCCATATACCATCTCCGCCCGCGACAAGGCGCAGTATCGCCACCTAGTATATATTATGTGTTTAAAACTTCCGTTATCTTATTATTACCAAACTGCTTCATTTTCCCCTTCATTTGATGGCTTCAGTACCAAACACGTATAAAACTCGTATAACACGTTTAATAGCCATATCGGATGAAATAAAATGGTAATTTAATAATATTTATACATTAATTTAAATTAAATTATTTCATATATTTTATGTCTATTGACGTATTCTTACACGTAACATTAGTTTACAGACTAAGTAAAATATTCATACATATTGTATACATAAGTTGACTGTTCCGTATGTTCTAACTATGGATTATATTTGAAATTTCATTCACTTTTTTAATAATGTGGATGAAATCAAATAACTTATAATATAGCACGGGTAAAATACTTCCTTAACCTTTATGTGATGTCCTAATCATTAAAAAAAACTTATGTAATACATCTATTTAGTTGATTTATTAGAAAATGCTATTCCTACATAAGTTTTACGCAATGTACTTATAATTTATATAACTATTATAGAATGGAATTCACAAATCTTTCGTGATGTGTGGTCTAATAATAAAGTCAATTATGAAAAGTATCACATTTGATTATATTATTTGTAAATGTTAACTTACTTTACATAATTTTTGTGCAATACAAATTGATGAGATGGTCAATATTGTAAATAATAATAATGATTTAGGTTAGTAATACTAAAATAATTAAGTTACAAAAGGGATAATTCCTTTTTACATTTAGTAGTACAACTATGACCAGAAGTTTTGTGTGTGCATCCTTATTTTCACCAGCTGCTCTAGTAATTTTTTAAGAGAACAAACCTCATATTTCTTTGAGACTTTTACATTTTAGAATTTTAGAATTTAGGTTTCATTGTTTGTTTTTCTTTAGACGAGAATCATTGCAGCTATAATTTCTACGCTAAATTTAGAGTTTTGATTTGAATATATTCATTTGGCTCATTTTACTAATTACACTTAATCTTATTATTATAAATAACACTGGATCGAATTATTAAAATCGATAAACTCTTAAGGCTATACTAACTCTAGATCCAGAGGAGGACTGGGCCGTAGCTCGGGGTGGCCACCCCCTAGATCCGCCACTAAGTGTTAGATCATATTTGTCTTAGTATGGGTATGGTATTAATATTCTATCTGATTTTTGTATAGGTAAAACTCGAACTATTTTGAGTAAAGTAATAAATATTGCATACTGATCATCCATTGTTCATTTCAATGGATAAATTTCTTGATCTAATTCAATCAAGATGCATGATATCTATCGTCCCCAAAGCTAGGCTATGAAGCC